TTTTGTATCACTAATTGCCCAGTACGATTACAGCATGCAATATTATTGTCACTGCTACATTTCTGTGATGAACCAGAAATGATTTCCACTACTAATTAATTACCGTTGAGCTCAAAGGTCCTATTAATAAACGGTTAACGAATGTGTATTTATGAAGACCAGTTGTGAGACTGGTAAACTTACCTTTGTTTGTACGATGGTCTTTCGTTCTACACGGTGCATTTCAAGGTCCTGTACCCATCCGTCGGTAAACTGTACCTGGGCTTGTTGCAGTGACCTGAAGTTACTAAACTTCATGAGTGTATGCACTCACTCCAAGAACTGTTTAATTATAAATCTGAGCATGGTAAAAGTTGGGCACCACGCTAACGTCTTTTGTCCCTCTGTGTGCTCGTAAGGGTCTGACCCTTTCACTCCTTTGATTTTTTCCTCGTATCTTTTCTTTTCCTTTTCGTCGAGTCTGTCTTTGTACGGACCGGCATTATTCTCCTTCGTTTTGTACATTCCTTTTTTGTGCGGCAAAGAAAAACCAAGAAGGTATTGGAACCAAAGAATGAACGTTTTGCGGTGCTGCAAATGCTTGCGTTTGATGCGGTACTTGGATTGTTTTGCCACGAGTTCCCGGAATGCAATGCACGAAAGTCACGTGATCTGTCAATCGCTATAGGAAAAACCATAAAGCCTTTGCGTGAAAACAACTGCTTTGATGTACACTGCCTTGTTGGTATATATGTATCAATCTAATAAACTTAAACCTACACTATCCTCCCTATTCTGGATTTTAAACAGTACATAGCGGAAACAAAAAGACTGCTTGGTCGAGTTAACCTCCTGAACTATCTACAACACATGGTAGAAACCTTAAATTAAGACCAAGAACACTAGAGGTGAAACATGATCATTAATTAATATTAAAATTAATAAATGACAGATTTAGTGATATTGTCATAAACACCTTTCCTTTTTTTGTTCTCCATTTTCTTTAGTTTGTCTATAAGATGCTAAAAGCTAAACAAGGGGGAGGGTGCATCCGGCCTCCTCGGCTGTAATTGGTCCAGCCCAGAGTCGATCATGACCAATTGGCCAATCCAACACCTTTCATTATATATACCCTTCCTAAAAATAAAAAAAATAAAAATAAAATAAATCCATCGGCCCATAAAAACAAAAAATCGCCAGCAGGTGTTTTTCTTGGAATACTGTGTTCTTTTTCCTCCATGTATAACACCCCTTGTTATGCCCAAATAACTCAATTTTAGTTTCATCAGTCCACAGCATCTTATTCCAGAATGAGGCTGGCTTGTCACAACCACACCCACAGCACAAGCGGCTCTGTTTGTGCTGTGGGTGGAGGAAAGGCTTCCTCTGCATCACTCTTGCATACAGCATCTCCTTGTGTAAAGTGTACTGAATGGTTGAACGATGCACAGTGACTCCATCTGCTGCAAGATGCTGTTGTAGGTCTTTGGTGCTGGTCTGTGGGTCGACTCTGACTGTTCTCACCATTCGTCGTTTCTGTTTATGCGAGATTTTTTTGATCTGCCACTTCGAGCCTGTGGTCTTCCATTTTCTCAATATGTTCCTAACTGTGGACAGCTTAAATCTCCGAGACAGCTTTCTGTATCCTTCCCCTAAACCATGTTGGTGAACAATCTTTGTTGTCTTTGGAGAGTTGTTTTGAGACCCCTGTGTTGCTACTCTTCAGAGAAAATTAAAAGAGGAGGGAAACTTACAATTGACCCCCTTAAATACTCTCTCATTATTGGATTCACCTGTGTATGTAGGTCAGGGGTCACTGAGCTTACCAAGCCAATTTGAGTTCCAATAACTAGTTCTAAAGGTTTTGGAATCAATAAAATGACAACAGTGCCCAAATTTATGCACCTGCCTGATTTTGTTTAAACAATTATTGCACACTTTCTCTAAATCCAATAAACTTCATTTCACTTCTCAAATATCACTGTGTGTGTCTCCTATATGATGTATTTAACTCGCATTCTTTTATTGTAAAAACCAATGATTTATACAGGAAAATAATGACTATTAACAAGGTTGCCCAAACTTTTGCATCCCACTGTACATAAGTTTATTGTAGCTAACTACTGACAGAATTGATAACTCAGTAAAAACCAAGTGAAAGTGGAGAGCATATTCTTGTTTTTAACATAAACCCATTGTTGCAGCTAGGGGCAGTTCAACATTGATCCCCTTGGACTGATTTTTAGAATTACTGTTGTTATTTTCCTCTGAGGTATCGATTCTGTAAC